GGGGGGGGGGGGGCGGGGGGAGCGGGGGCCGCGGCGGGGCCGGGGCGTGGGCGCCGGCCGCAAGAGGCCGGCCGATATGATACCAAGCCGCCGGCTATCTCGGGCGACTGATCAACGGGACGGCGTGATGGATCGCGCGTCTCGCCACGTTCGGGCTGCCGCCACCAACTGCAAACCGCCCTCCTTCCCCTAGCACACACTCATGCGCCGCCCCGCCTCCCAACCTATAAACCCCCCAGATCATAAACCGCGACGTGTGGGCGCTCTTCTCCGACCCCCCCATCCACTTTGTCCCGGACCAAGCCCCCGAGATCCTGTCGCCCGCCCAAGTCATCGCGGCCGGCTTCGCCTCGTGCTCGGGGCTGTCCATCTTCTTGGCCAGCGCGTGCCGGGCCGTGGGCATACCTGCGCGCGTCGCGGGTGCGCTGCGCACGCTCTGCACGCTCTGCACGCGTTCTTGCCCTTTGCTACCTCTCCCTCCCCACGCTCGAGTAGTGTGCTCTGCCTGTCGTCGGACTGCCAGCGCGCACCCATGGACTGCCTCACGCCGCGGCGCATTGCAGCCGTGCCCTGCGCGGGCGGCGGTGGGTTCAGCACGGGCCTGCACGCGACAATGACCCCAGCTTTATGGCGGCCACCACCAAATCGCCAGGCACCCCCAGCTGGGTGGAGGACCGGCGGGATCTTTCCAAAGGCGACCGCTTCAACAACCACAATTGGGTGGAGGTGTGGGACGGCGGCGCCTGGTCCTTCACGGGTGCGCGCGTGCATGCGCTAGAGGGCCGGCACGCATCGCTTACTTGGGGCCCACCCTGTTTGGAAGCTGCGCCGCGCGAGCACGCCTGCTGGACCTCCCCCCGCGACGAGTGTAGTGTGCGCAGGTCCAGTCGCAGGCGTGCGAGCGGCGCCAACGAGGAACGGGTATGGCCAGAGGCGACGTCCCATTCCGTGCCAGCTGCGGAGGCTCCACAAACCCTGCATTGAAAGCGGCCGGCCGAGCTGCCACTCTCGCAAAGCAATCCAGCATTTGGGAGCAAACCCCCTTTTGGACCAGAGATCACATACACCTTGTGCTCCCTCCCCTGACCCCCACACCCCCCCCCTCCTCCCAAGCCGGCCCCAATGTAGTGTTACAAACCCACTGACAAAGCCCAGCCCCGGACTTGATCTAACCAGGCCACACGAGCTCCTTTGACAACCCTCTCGCTCCAAGCGCACCCTACAACTCGTCCCACCCTATCCCACACCGACAGGCGCCTGCGAGTACCGGCCAGAGGGCCTCAACCGCACCTGGTTCTTCCCTCAGCCCGCCAAGAGCGCGCTGCCGGGCAGCACTATGCACGCGATCTACGCCGCCTCGTACCAGACAACAGGTGCAGGGCGCCCCCCACCTTGCACAGCCCTTCACGATCTGGGGTGCACGCCAGGACGGGGCTTGGTCTGGGGGCAGGCCGCGCGCGCGCGCTGCCTTGGCTGCAAGCATGTCGTACGCGTTCTGAGGCATGCATTTGGCACATGCCTGGGCGCCTGTGTGGCCGCAGCGCCGCGCACACCCTACTGCTGTCACAAATTTGATGCATACCCTAAGCAGCGAACCAACCACAACCGGGAGTACGACTCAGGCCCATCCTGCAATCTACTTGAGTGGCACCCCCAACACACACCCATCACGGACACACACACACACGCACGCACGCACGCACGCGCGCGCGCACACACACACACACACACACACACACACACACACACACACACACACACACACACACACAAATTCCACTGCGTGGAATCATTCGCGCTCGTCTCCATGGCGCAGGCTTGACCTTCCCTCTGGCGTGGGCTCCGCAAGACCGGGAAGTCCCCGCTGTGGACGTGACCCAGGGCTACATCGATGCAGAGGAGCCAGGACCCCCCAGCTAGCATTGCAGCCAGGCCACCGCAGCAAATCATGCCTCGGCCAGCCACTTCCTCGAGGGTGACCCTGCACCACTGCGGCCGCAGCCCGCAGTTCTGCCTGCACCGCAGCCCAGGCAGCCGTGCTGTCGCCAGCCGGTGGCGGTGGCGGCGCCTGGCTAGAAGGCGGCTTTGCCCACGTGGACCCTCTCTGCCAGGGTGGTTGATACCCCTTAACGCAGTCGTGCTGTCGCCCCTGGAACCGGCTGTCCTAGACATGCTTGCACTCAATAATAGCAACGCCCACGCAGCCCACCTGATCTCCGATTGATTCAGGCGTCCAAGCGCTGGCAAAAGCGACTGACAGCAGCTGTGGCACCAGCTTGCTTGCAGACGCCAAAATGTTTATCACCTCTCTCGCACCAAACCCCTGCGCGGCTTTGTACAAGCCAGGGCCATGTACAAAGCCAGGCGTGTCCTTGTGATCGCATGGCAACCCCGCTTTGCTGCAGCTGAGCGGGTTCTCTTGACTTTGCGTTTTTCCAGCACCTTCATCGCACAACAGTTTGGGTAACTTCAAAGCAAAAGAAAGGGTGTGTCCTTAAAAAATTGCAGTGCAAAAGATGTCGTTCTGTGCAATCGCATCAGGGTCAGATCAAGGGGAGGTCTTTCAGGTTCAGGGGTGGGCGTGTCGCATCTTGTCCGAATGGCGACTTACCTCGCTCTGCGTCCCTCTCGCGCAACTTTCTGGCAACTGCGCACGCTGGAAGCCAGGGTATGTTGCTAGTTTATTAGCCTTTTTTGGACTTCATTTGAGTGTTTTTTCCTGCATGCGCGCACGGGGGGGATGAAGGGAAGGGTCTATTAGCGGTAGCAGCTATTGCAAGCCTGGGCTTGCTTGCTCCTCCTGTAAAGACTCGGCTGAAGCTGTCGCAGATTTCAAGCCTTGAAGTGTCAACTCAATTTATATCCTGCCAGAAGCCAACACATGCACTATCTTCTTCAAATTGGTTTGCGTGGGGTAAGGTGGCTGAGTGACTGGGATGCTGGGAAAAATATAGCCAGACGTTTGCGGTGGTGGCTGCTTTGCTTGCATTGCAGCAGCCACTGTGGTGCGATTACATGGTCAGAAGACGCTGATGCACTTCACCTGGAAATAATTGCATTTTGGGCCACCAACGGCGCCCTGGACAGTGTTTAGGAGCAGACCAGCAGCGCAGGTTGCGCCGCCAAAGCCGCCGGCAGTCGTGTTTACGAGGGCGCCAGTCACGCTGTCGCTCCATCTCCGGCGCCAGTAGCATTGTTCGCTTTTCTACCAACCGCACCAGTCACCGACACCGGTGGCAGCGCCCTCGACAAGGCCGCAAAACGCAAAGCCGGTGACTGTGTTGGCGGCGCGAGCACCAGCGTTGGAGGTGATGCCACAAGTGCCGCGAGCGAGGCCGTTGGCGGTGCTGCCAGTCACACCCCCAGCTGGCTGAGGCGGCGGCCGGCAGGTCCGCTGTTCAAGCCACCAACAGTGCTGGCGGTAGATCTTGCAGTGTTGTCAGCAACGCTGTCGATGTAGAAGGTGTTCGCGATGCCCCCGTTGGCGAGTCTGATTGTGGAAGTGGTGGCAGTTTGGCCGACGGAGTTGATGAGGGGCACCCCGCTGCCGCCGCACGTCACGCCCTTGACACCGTCCTGGGCGGTGAAAACTGCACCAACAGCAGCTGCACCCACAGGGCCTCGGACGGCGCTGAAGACGGTGCTAGGGACGGTGCCGGTGACTTTTGGCACACCACCAATTGTGCCCGAGGCGGTGTTGATGACCAAGCCTGCGGCGGTGTTCGAGGCGCCGCCAGTGAGGCCGCTGACGGTGCCAGTCGCACCAGTACGCTGGTTGAGGTTGCTGGCAGTGCTGGCGGCATCTGCCGCAGCGTTGGTGGCGGTTCTGGCGGTGGTGGCGGCGGCCGACGTCCCTGTGAAGATGAAGGTGTCCGCGGTAAAGATGGCATTCCTGGCTGCAGGATCGGTGGGGGGTACCCTGCTGCCATCGCACGCCACGCCATCCACTGCAACACCCGCCGCGCCCGCTGCGCCACTGGGGCCGCCTTGGGCGGTGGTGACTACAGTTTCGCCACTGCCCGCCGCGCCACCAACGGTGTTTGTGGGGGTGCTGGTGAGCACGCCCGTGGCGGTGTTAGAGGCGCCGCCGGTGATGACGCCGTTGACAGTGCCAGTCGTGCCACTCAGCTGGCGCAGCGCGCGGCGGGCGCTGGCCTCAACGGGAGGCATCGCCAGGCATAGCGCAGCCATGACCGCCGCGGTGACGAGGGCGCGGCCCATGTTGGAGGGAGATGTCGTACCCTGCCAGATCATGTAGTTGTGGTGGAGGTGAGCAGAAAGGGTGGGTTAAGGAGGTGAATGGGGGTGAGGGGGGTCAGGAGGGCAGGGCAGGCACCATGCATCATGGCCCAGGTCGGTGGGGCTCAGCACTGCCGGCCACGCACCTGGTTGCTGGGCCCCGTACAGCTCACTTTACACAATAAACAACAGTTTTTCCGTGGACGCCGTAATCTAGCCGCTGCCAGCATACGCACCCACCTGATGTGGCCACGGAGCGTAACTTCTACTTTTGGAGATCGTAGAGGGGTGTGAGGAGGGTGGTTAGGGTGATGGAAAATTCAATAATGTTTTTGCGGACTGCTGAAGTTCAAGCTCCTGATGCTCAGTAAAAGCGGGTGCACACCCCGCTCCTGTTTTCAACCTCAACCACGACACGGCTGGCACAGGCCCCCTAACACGGGATGCCGCTGCAATTGAGGTGGAAACAACCTGTGGTAGCAATTTGCCTGGCCCCCCGGCCTCATCCCACAGCCCCTTTTGCACAGGGGCCAGATGTACATCGGGCGGGGCTATGACACCTGTGACTGAGTGACATCAGGACGCCGCAGCAATCACGCCCACAGCGCAACAGTGATATGGTTTGTACTTGAAAGCCAGCACAGCTTCACGGAATGGAAAAATTTCACATCATCCTACCAAGGCAAGCCACGTACGGCATTCATGCTGGAGACACTGCCTGCGTACGCGTGGTCGGGCGCGAGCAGCAGGGCCACCATGATTATTGGTGGATGGTGGGACAGGAGCTGCCGTGCCAGCTGCCAGCACGCCCAGGTCAGGCCTGTGCTGCTGAGCATTTCAAACCACTTACATGGCACAAACAGGTTTGGGCCATCCCTACCTGCGCCGCTTCCTGTGCTTGGGGCTGCGATGCAAAGGACCTGGCAACTTGTCACCAGTCAGCCACGGGCAGATGGATTTGCTCGCACACATTAGGACAGGTGCTCACCCCCTGTCAACCCGACCCCTGATGGTGTCCAGGCTGACTAAGACATACACCATTGGTCTTGCCCTTGATTGTCATGAGGCGTTGTTGCGAGCGGGCACGTGCAGACAATCAAAGTACACCTCAACTACCTTGGAGTCGTAGTCGGCCGTCACCGTCTCACCGGGGATCCGAAGGAACAAGTGCGGCAAGCAGCAGAGTGCACAAAGCGAGTGGGGTATCCCTGCCCGTAACCTTTCCACTGTACTTGCACCACAATCACCAGACAACTAGCATCTCAAAAAAGCGCTGCGGCTGTCACACACCTCCATGGGTTGTCAACCGTGGGATGACCGACATTGGCCGCCACCAATCCCAGAGACCGCGCACAAAATTTGTGACAACGCAAGCAACCATAATGCTGAAGCTTCATCTCTGCTCGCCGCCTCGGCACGATGTCACCTCTTGCCAGAGGCTTTGATCCTCAAGCAGGTGCCACTATGCCCAGAGCCTCGTCGTGCATGCCTGTGGCACACGTTGAGTCCCAACACGTTGAGTCCCAGCCCGCCCACCCTACCCCCCTCCAATATCGCCCCACTTCACCAGCCTCCCCCGGACCCCTCCCCCCCACCACACACATAACCACGGGGGATGGGTCCCCCTCCCCTTTGTGTGTGTTGGCGACCAGATGTTGAGCCGTTCACCGGCCAGCTGGGATCGTCGACCTTGAATTCCATCGCAAAAATGCTTGTGTGATGCACTGTTTATCAGAGGCCCAGAGGGCTGCAGGAGGCGGCGCAGCTTGGAGCTGTGCTGGGCGTGCAGTTGAGGGCGCAAAGCACCTGCTGAACCGGAACAAGCCGCACGTTGTCCGACATCCATCTTTTCACTAAATCTGTATGCCGAGTGACCTTCCATGGCCTTCCCGCGTGGCCGCCATTGGCCGGATAAGGCTTTCAACGCATGATTTTATCATTTATCTCGACCCTCCAAAGAATTTCGCTCAAGGCCGGCGCCTGGCTGAGCCGCTAGGCGGTGCCCTGTACGCGGGCGGCCCCCGATACCAAGCATGGGGACCGGGTGACGTCGCAGGGGTCAGAGGCTGAGAGTGATTACTCCCCCCCCCTGAACCATCATGCTACCTACAGCATGGTACCCCCTGCTTGATAAACCCCGCAAGGAAGGCAAGGGATCCAATTCCTTTACATGTGCGTGCACCGCTGTCCCGCTGGCATGGCCCGATCGCCGTTTCACGAGGCGCGAGTGATTTCACGCGTGGCAGGCTCCAACTGAAGGCACTGGTCGGGGCCCTCGGCACCAACCTGCATCATAGGATGTGTTGTGTGCTATATTGATGGCATGTGTGTTTCTCCCGTGGCAGCATCCCCTTGAAAAGTAGCAGAAACAGCATCCCCTGCTGGTGGCACCAGGCAGCCATAAGGCAACCGCTGGCCCGGAGCTCGCGTCAAGACTGACTGACGTCCCTAACAGTTTGCCGCCTTGCGCCGCTGCGCAGTACCCATGCCTTCGAGACCCAAGCAAGCCTGCACTCGCTGCACGGCGTGCTTGCCGTGGGCATGCGATGGCATTCACGCAGCTGTTCAAAGTGTTGACGCGATCCGCAGGAAGGCTACAATAGGACGGCACAGATATCCAACGTTCTTTATTGTTTGCTCAAAACGCGGTCGCTGTAGTCGGCCTTTCAACACGGCTCGAACGTCAAACATTCCGCATCTCTGGTGGCACGCGAAGCACTTACGTGAGCCACCCAAAGCTTGGTGACATGTAAACTTGACAATTCGCGCCGGTATCAGGGCTTCTCATGCGCAGGGTTCCTGTTGAGCACCTGGTGACTGCAACGGCCGACAGCTGTGCCAGCGGGCCTCCCCTCTTCAATTGGGTGGGGGCCCAAGCCTTTTAGCAGACGGTCAGCTCAGCCTTCTCCCTTCTGCTGGTCAGGGCAGTAGCACCCTCACACGCTCACGTCAGCAGCCACCCGTCACACCGCTTCCACTCACCCCTTCCCCCCAATGACTTCCCCCTCGCCCTTCCCGGCCCTTACGCATCTCCCTTGTCTCCCCCCCCCCCAGTCCCACTATGGCCCGCCACTCGATGGCGCTCGCCGCCGCCATGGCGGTGCTGCTGCTCGCAGCGCCGCTAGCCGCAGCGAGCGTTGACGCAGAGCGCACCGGCCGTGAGCTCCAGCAGCTCGATGGCATCCCGAGCGGCAGCCTCTTGGGCGGCCTCATCAACACAGTGAATGGCATCCTGAACTCCCTTCAGACCCTCAATTTGGGGTCCACCACCCCCATGATCCCTGTCGGCGGCCTATTTAGCGGCCTCCCGGTCCTGGGCGGCACCAACAGCACTGGCCTCCTCAATGGCATCCTTGGCCCCGTCGCCGGCCTCCTTGGCTCCAACTCTACCGGGCTCGTCAACACTCTCACTGGCCTCACCGGCGGCGGCCTCCTGGGTACCGTTACCGGCACCTCTGGCGCTACCGGCGGCCTCCTGAGCGGCCTGACGGGCGGCCTCGCCGGCGGTCTCGTTGGGGGCGTCACCGACGTCCTCGGCAACATCCTCTCCGGCTCCACCTCCGGCCTCCTGTCCGGCACCGTCGGCGGCCTCCCCTTGGTCGGCGGCCTGTTTGGCCCCGTCTCCGGCGTCCCGGTCCCTGGCGGCCTGCTCAACAGCACCCAGCTGAGAGGCCGCCCTGTCGTGGGCAGCCCCGTGGGCAACGTCCCTGTCGTCGGCAATGGCGGGCTCCTCACCAACCTCCTGGGCCTCGCGTCCGGCGACCTCCTGGGTGGCGGTGGCCTCAACGCTGTCCTGAACGGTGTCCTGAACAATGCTGTGGGCCCCGTGCTGGAGACTGCGGCTGGCCTTCTGCCCGGCGTCACCAACGCTCTCCCCCTGGGCATCCTTGGCGGCAACCAGAGCTTCATCCTGGCACCCACTGACGCCTCGTTCATCGGCGGCAAGGGTGCGCTGCTGTCGAGCGTGCTGTCCCTCAACCCCAACGCCCTGCTCTCTGTTGGGGGCATCACCAAGCTCCCCGACATTGGCAACATCACGGTCGGCGTCGATGGCAGCTTCCTCTACAACGGGCCCAACCTCAACGGTGAGAGCAAGAAGACCACGCGGGATTGGTATGCAACATCACGACGGTAATGCGCATCTCGATGACTGTTTCAAGCCGAAGTGACACGCTGCACGAGGCTCTGTGTCTCCCTTGCAGTGTGTTTGTGCCATCGTCACAGGCAACACCTCACCACAGCGCTGAGTTGTGGCCCCCTGTGCTCACCTCTTCCCCGCAGGATCCACCAGCGTGTGCATCCAGGTCACCGACCTGCTATCCACCGCCCCTATCTGCATTGACCTAATCCGCAACCTGCAAATCCCCGCCGTCAGCGGCATCCTGCCCCTGGTGTTCAGTAACAAGACCGTTATTGACCTCAAGGGCGGCACCAACTTCACCGGCAACCTGCTCAGCGGCGTGATCTCGCCCAACCTCAACCTGGGTGGCATCCTCAGCGTTGCGGGCCTCGGCGTCCTGCCCGATGTTGGCACCATCAACATCAACAAGGATGGCACCTTCACCTTCAACGGCATCCTGAACGGTGGGCGTTGAGGGCGGCAAGAAAACAAAGAGCTGAAATGGCTGACAGCCTGCCACTGCCAGCTTGTTTCTGTCAGCATGTGCCCTGTCCTGCCTTGCCTTCCAACACGGCATACCTTTTTTCAACTCTTGACCTTCCACTGACTGGACCCTCGCTGTTGCACTTGCAGGCACCACCATGTTCTGCGCGGTCGTCACCGACACGCTCTCGACCCTGCCGCTGTGCCAGACGATCTCCAACCTGCTGCCAGCTCTGCCTGAGATCCCCCTGCCCGTCTGCCTCCCCGGCTGCCTCAACGGCGGTGAGCTGCCATGACAGACCAGCTGGTTTTGCTGACATTCTCAGCTAGCCGGGTCCCTCAAAACAATGCGGCAAAATCATGTATGGCAATCGCTCCCTGCCACTCGTGCACGTCTTGGCAACCGCAAAAACAATGATCATGCACTCCCTCCCAGGTGTCTGCAACGGCCTGCTCAGCTGCAACTGCACTGGCACAGGTTTTGCGGACAACATCTGCTCCACCCCTGTCAGTAACAACACTGTTGGTAGCAACACCACTGTTAACACCACCGTCCGTGAGTGCACATCCCTAGGATTTGGGTTAATGATGGAGCTGGACAAGTACAGCAAACAATGAGCTTTCAATCATCACCAGGATGTGCTTGAAATGAGTGGTGATCCTCAATCGACACCCAGTGCCCCACAATCTATGCCATCGCATGGACGACACCAGAAAAACGCTTGACTCAACATCCTCCCTCCTACCTCCCCTCCTCACCACAATCTGCAGCCCCGGCAGGCACCACCCCCGATGTCACGTTTATCTGCCCTCGCGACGGAGTGTGCAAGATTGCCGCGCCCGGCGTGCTCAAGGGTGCGCCCGGCCCCAACGGCTTCGTGGTTGCCTCTTCCTCCAAGCCCGGTGTGGGGACGCTCGGCGTGACCTCCGATGGCGCTATCACGTTCATCCCGCCGCTGTGAGTGCTGCCTAGTACAATGGGAAGAATTGTTGGCTGCCAAATAGGATGGAACTGCATGCACGGTGACCAGGGCTTGGATTGTAGAAGTCGCCTTGCCCACAATTTGCAGGTTGTTTACTCTCTTGCTTTGTACAAAACCTCTTTTGATGCAGGGACTTTGCCGGCAATACGACCTTCACCTCTCTGGTCACCAACGGCACCCTGGCCAAGAACCTCTTGATCCAGCTGTCCGTCACCGACCCCGCGCCCCCGGCCCCCACCGCTGGCGACGACACGTTCAACTGCCCCTTCAACGCTGACTGCGTGATTGCCGCGCCCGGTGTGCTCGCCAATGACGCGACCACCAACCCCGGTGGCAAGGTTATTGTGGTCAGCAACACCGGCAATGTCACCGTGACCCCCGCGGGTGCCATCACCCTGAAGCTCGTCCCGTGAGTGCGGTTGATCTTAAGATCTGGGCTTGGTGTCATGCTCAGACCCCCCCCCCATCGACGTCAGGGTAAAACACAGGGCATGGGCAGCGGCTTTGCAAAATTATTCATGTGGGTTGCGCCTCATGTGGGGCCTGACCTCTGCACCCACCCACCCTTGATGCTTGCCCTCCTCCCTATTCAGGGGCTTTGCTGGTGACGTGGTGTTCAACTACACCATCGACGACGGTGTCTCCATCAAGCCCGTCACTGCCAAGGTCACCCTGGTTGTCCCCGGCTCCGACACTGCTGGCGGCGTTACCGCTGTTGCCAACAGCTTCCTGCTGCTGGTGCCTGCTGATGGCACCGCCAACAATGCCAGGTGCCCGGACCCGACCCCCGGCCTGGCCGAGATTGTCAACGCTGCTGTGGCCAAGATCAAGACCGTTGCCGGCCTGACCAGTGTCAATGGCGCGTTCTCTAGGTGTGACCTCCTGGACCAAGGCAAGGTTCTGGTCACCATCATCTTCACCATCAATGCCCCCACCGCCGCGCCCATCAACACTGCTCTGGCCGGCATCAACTCGCCCCCCGTCGTCGGCACTGCTGCGGCTGGTGACAACATCTGCACCTCCACCCTGCTCGGCTCGCTGTGCAACGGCACCGTCTTCACCGGCCTCAAGGTCACCGACGGCTGCGCCACGACTGCGCAGCAGTGCGTCCCCCAGACCCTGCGCCAGAAGCGCTGCGTTGTGGACGGCCCCGCCATTGGTGGCTACACGTTCATCCGCGCGGCCGGCCGCGTCGCGCCCTTCGTCGACGCGAACGCCGAGATCGTCGCGACCGACGGCGAGATTACCGCCGACATCGGGGGCGGCCGCCGCCTGCTCCAGAAGGTCCGCCAGGCCACCTTTGAGGCGTGCTGCGTGAGCCCCAAGCAGAGGGAGCCCCCGACCGGCACCGCCTCCACCTGCAAGAAGATCAACGTTGGCAAGAAGTTCACCAGCCTGGCCCGCTTCAAGCCCACGACCTGCAAGTGTGCCAACGTCCGCGAGTTCGTCCAGGGCGCCATGTGAGTAGTGGATGTGCATCAGAGGCATGGCGTGTGGCACGAGTGCAAGGCTATGTTGTAGGGCCCAGCAGCTGGATCATTGCCGCATGTGGCCGCTGTTCAAGGCCTGGAATTTGGTGGATGCTGTAAAGGGGTGAAGAGACCACGCGGCAAGCACTGATGGCTACCCCCCTACGCACTCCACAGGACCACCAAGCTGCCCAAGATCAATGTCACCCATATCCCGGCCAACTACCCCTTCAGTGTTGGGTTCGCTGCTAAGGTGTGTGGTGACCCCTCCCCCCGCTGTTGTATGGAGGCTGGACCCTTGCAATGGCAAACGTGTTTCAATTGACTTGTGCATGCATCGGCAAAGCAGCCCTCCGGCTGCTCGCAATCATTATTATATGCCCAACCCCTAACCTGCTTTACTCCGACTTGCTCAGGTGTGCGTCCCCAAGCCGACCAAGAGCAACCCCCTCAAGTGCACCAACAAGTACCTCACTGCCGGTGCTGCCACCGCCACTTGTAACAACGGCACCCTGGGTCTGGAGTTCGAGTCGGTGCAGCGCTTTGTCATCGGTCGCCAGCACACCGTCATCGCGACCTGCACCAAGAGCAGGTGTGTGGTGCCCAAAGTTGGCTGGTATTGAGGCGCTGCTATGACTGGATGACGAGGGCAATTGCCAGATTCGAAGCACCCCCATTGCCACCTCGCCTCCTTGACTGGTCGAGGTGACCGCAGCAGCTGTCGGAGATGGGAGTGGCCACTGCAATAACACGCTTCTGACCGTCCACCCATTGGCCCTTCCAACCATTTGCTGCAGGTTCAACGACATATCGTCGTGCGCCATTCCCAGCGACTCCACCGTCACCCCCACTCTGTCCGGTGGTGTCAAGATCACCAACAAGGACTTTGACGCCGGCTGTGTGTGCAAGTCGACTGGCCGCAAGCCGGTGCTGAACCTCATCACCACCGACGTCCTCGTGGGCCAGCAGTGCCTTGCATAAGCACTGGCGCAAGCTGGGCGACCCTGCACCATCAACGCACATTGCCACGAGCACGGGCCGGGGGCGGCCGCCTGCATAGCGGAGGCCAGGCACCCCGCCCCGTGCGGCGTGCATGTCCACGCCGCGGTGGCGGTCGCCAGCGCGCAGTTCCAGGCCCTGCTCGTCAAGTCGCTTTGCGCCTGCGGGAACGGCCTCGCAGATGCGTGGTGCGGCTTCGTCGGGCACGCGCCTGCCCTGCTGCGGCGCTGCGACGCGGCAATGTCGGAGCTCAATCGGCGGCGGGCGCGGGGCCTGCGGCGGTGCAGCCTGCGGCAGGGCAAGGGGCGGTCGGGCGCGGAGGACGCCTGGGCGGGCCAAGCAGCAGCTGCGGAGGACGCGCGCGCCGACGGCTTGCACGACATGTGCGTGGCTCTGCTCGTGATCTTGACCAACTTCCTGCTGCTGCGGGCGCCAGATGGGGACGAGCGGGACTGGTTGTGACGGCATCCCCGGTCAGCGGCAGCGACAGCCTGGGCCCCGCTGGCGGCGGCGGCGGCAGGGGCCAATCAGGGGGCCCTGGCCATGGAGTTGCAGCCGGCAGCCAATGGGACGCCCTCGCCGCGGCTCTCGCAGAGATCGGCGGCTGCGCAGAGCTGGCCACTCGCTCGCGGCTGGCCCTGGCGGTGGTCGAGGCGCGGAGCGCCGTCGATGTGGCGCGGGCGGCGCGCGGCGGCCCCGGCGGCGCGGATGAGCGCGCGCAGCTGCTGTTGGAGTGCCTGCTTGCACGGCAGTTGGAGGGTGCGGCCATGCGTATCATTTTGTCGGACGGCGGCGGGCGCGGCGCATTCGGGATCAGCGATCTGCGGGCGAAGCTGTTGCGGCGTTTGCAGCACCGGCGGCATCACAATCACGCGGAGTCGTTGCCGGCGGACAAAGCATAAGCAAGCAGGGTGGCAGCTTGGGTTGATCCAGAGGCGCGGGCCGAGAGGGTTGCGCGGCAGCAGCAGCTGTTCGATCAGCAGGAGCAGCAGCCCGTTCAGCAGCAGCAGCAGCAGCAGCAGCAGCAGCAGCAGCAGCAGCAGCAGCAGCAGCAGCAGCAGCAGCAGCAGCAGCAGCAGCAGCAGCAGCAGGAGAAAACTGAGGAGGAGGAGACGGCAGAGGAGGCGGCTGCAGGAGGAGCAAGCTCAGGCGCGCACAGACAGCGGACAGGGAAAGCAGCACCTGCTGTTCAACGGCATCTATTTGCCCTGGTGCGGACCTTGCCCAGCCCCGCGCTCGGCATCAATTCGCCACTATCGGACAATCAGAAGTGCAGCGTCTCCCCAGCAGCCGGCCGCGCGGGGTCTGCCCAGCGGGCGCCCGCAGGCTCGCTTGTCGCGCCGCGCCACGGCCTGGCAGAGATGCGTTCGATGCCCCCGACCGCCAGGCGGGCGACCTTGCCCGACTGCAGCTGATTTTGGAGTAGAGCGATTGGGAGGCGCGCGAAGTCAAAGGGGGCGCTGGGGCGCATTATGAACCCATCAGCCCCCCACAACTGCGTGGCGAGGTCGACAGGCGCAGCTCGCCGCGCCATTGCTGCGCGCTTTGCGGCAGGGCGTCCGCGCAGGGCGCGGCGCTGCGGCGCTGCGCGGGGTGCGGCGCGCTGACGGGTGTGCGCTACTGCAGCCAGGCCTGCTGCCGCAACCACTGGGTGCGGACGGGGCACCGGCAGCAGTGCGAGCAGGCGCAGCGGCTGCTGTGCAAGCAGCGGCAGCAGCAGCAGCAGCAGCAGCAGCAGCAGCAGCAGCAGCAGCAGCAGCAGCAGCAGCAGCAGCATGAGTGAGAGCAGCAGTTGCTTTAGACATTGTTTGAACGGGGCCCTGACATACATGTTGCTGTCATGCAGTGCATCTCCAGCCTGGTCATCAGCGTGCGGCCGCTGCCGGAATTGTACATGGGTCCAGATTTAGCCAACAGCATGCTTGGCTTGTGTCGGCTGTGCAGACAGTATTTGTAGTCCATTCAAACCTGTATTGCTCTCTCACTTGTGAATCAGTTGTGAGTCAATGCTGTTGTGGGAGACTGCCCGATTTTTGCGTGCCTGGTGCCTCATTACTATAGGGTTGGCTCCTGGAGCAGGAGACCACGCAATGTGGTAACAATTCAATTGAAGATGTGCAACAGGCAGGCCAGGTGGCAGCAAACCTGCCAGCTCCGCGGGCATGCAATGATGCACGCAGCAATAATTTCAAATCCAGGGGTAACAGCAAACAGCGCGTCAGAATGCAACAGGACGGTGAAAAGCGCCTGCGCTGGTGGGGCATGGGCCAAGTCCTCGTCACAGTCCCCTAGCCTGGACAGCCAGTTCGACCTCGGCAAACGCGATGAAGCTGCTGAGACAAAGTATAGGATTGTTACAAGATCCCGCGGTCGCCCGCTCCTGGAGCCATCCAGGCTCATGGGATATGACTGGGTAGCATCAGCATTGTGTGACAGAGATTCAAGGGGCCACGGTACAAAGAGAGGCTCAAGCAGCGCCTGCCAGCCAGGTGCACATGGCACCAGCGCACCTTGCTACAATATCACACAAACAGTGTGCAGTTGGTACAGCCGCATGCGACGTCGGCGGCAAGTCGGCCCTGCGAAGCATCAAGCCGGTCGAATCATTTCGAAATTCAGGTCAAGCCTCTTGTGACTCAAGCCGTTGTGTATCAAGCTTGGGCCACCACCAGCCCCGCGCAGCTGCGCCAAAAGCAACGACGGGCAAGTGCAAAGCCCCAGGGTGCGCCGCTAAACACAGCATTGCGGATCACCGCTGCACTTGCTTGTCAATCGCGCTGCGCCACCCTAAACAGGTGGCATGGGGGGGGCATGCGTTACTACTCAAAGACCCTCAGGAGGGAAGCGCAGCGCAAAGCTCAGCAGCAAGCGGCAAAAAGAGCCGGGAATGGTACAGCCTAACGGGACGGGACGCCTGCCCGGCGCCCGGCGTTTCGCACGCCCGGGGCCGCCGGGCTGCAGCAAGCGCGCTCCTCAGGCGCGCCCTGCGCGCAAAAAGTGCAACAGCAACAATGGCAGTGCACTGCTGAGCGTGTTGGGTGCAGGCAGAGCCGCCCTGCCTTTTGCTCCCTCAAGGTGTGGTGCACGCCAGAACGATGAGCGCACACAAGAGCTGAGCTTGCTGATGTGCTGTCATCAGGCGAGAGCAGCTAGACTGCTGACAGAGCGCGCCATTGTGAGTGTGTGAAGAATGACAAGGTCACAGGTGGAAATAGGGATAGGGGGATGATAGTGGAGTCCGAGGGATTGGACAGAATGGAAAGGACCGGTTTCAGCAAGCCAAGGAAACGTAAAAGAAGTGTAGACACAATTATCTCGAAGCCTTGACTGCACTCGGCCGCGATTTGCAGCAATCCCTGAAACATGCACTGCGGTTTTCAAACGTGCCCTGCACTTGTGCTCGCAAATCCTCCTGTATTGTAGTCACTGACACACTCATCTGAACCTTGAGCACAGGGTCCAGATGAAAAGGTGAGCTTTACACGCCTATCATATAGTCTGATGGCTCATCACGGCAAGCAATGCCAACTGCGCTGAATAACCACCCCTGCCCAAACCCAGTGCAGCACCCCCCCATACAAAGCAAAAGGGGTACTTGGAAACAAATACGCATGAATGTTCTGAGAAATGTGTGAAAGGTATCCGTGGGGCGCGGATGTAATCAACCTAGATGAGAAATGCGCCACAATCAGGGTTGCTGCGGGGCGCATGCGCCTCAAGGGCACCAGAGGGACCGGGAGGAGACTTGCCCTTGCAGGCGTATCTCTGCATCCATGTGCGCGCACGCGGTCGGCGCTCTGTCGGCGTTCGGCGCATGTCGGCACAAGCCGCTGACGAGCACAAACATGCTCGGCGCGCGCTCGCCACCACGAGCCCAACCAATGATGAGGACAGAGCTAGGACACAAGGGCAGTCATTTTGCCATGAGCGCACGCACAAATTCCCCCACGCCATCAAATGCGCCCGCGCCGGCAGCCACGCTCGCCAAACACCCGCACGGCACTTAGTCACGCAGTGATGCGTGCAGCCGCATCGGCCCGGCGAGCTGTGGGCATGCCCTCGACAGCGTGGCGCGGTTCAATTCATTCGCAGAGGTGCATGCGCCACCTGGGTGCAACAGCAACCGCTGCATAGTAAGATGCAGGAATATCCGTTCCAGCTCGTGCATGGCGCTGACGCCGGCGCATCTGCGTTTTGCGTGCAGCCCAGACGTGCCAGTAGGATGCACAAATGCTGCACCAAGACCCAGGTGCCCCGTACATTGTGTGGGCGCGTATGTGTTTCAACTCAGGCTCCAATTGAAAAATAAAGTTTGTGGGCAGCGCCTCAAGCTGCGGGACATTCGCGAGCACAGGAGCCGGTGCTGCAGTGCCTGTACATGAAGGGCGCGCGCGCGCGGCGCGCCGTCGGCGCGGCGCTCATGCGCACAGCGCTGGTAAATGGGCCCTGGCTGAGGTGGTCGCGGTAGCGGTGGCTGCCTGGCTGCGGTACTGATGATGGGCGCGCTGCAAGTCACAGGGTGCAAGTCACGCCATTGATCACCATCGTGGCCTGGTTGGCTGCAAGACCAGCCGCGCCCGCTGCGCCGCTGGCGGCGTTTTGGGTGGTGGTGGCGACGGTTCCAACAATGCCGGTCGCACCACCAACGGTGTTTGTGGCGGTGTTGGTGAGTATGCCGGCGGCCGTGTTGGCGCCGGCGACGGCGCCTGTTGCAGTGTTTGTGAGAGCGGTGCCTGCGTCCTGCACACTGGTGACTGTTCCCTGGGCCGTGTTCACCAGAGAGCCGGCCGTGGCAGTTGTGCCAGTCGCGGCATTCGTGGCAGTCGTGATGAGGGCGTTTGTTGCGCCACCAGTGGCGGTGTTGACGGTGCCAAGCACCCCACCCAGCTGGCGCAGCGCGCGGCCGGCGCTCGCCTCGACGGCAGGCGCTGTCAGGCACAGCGCCAAGACCGCTGCGATCACAAAAAAGGCACGGCCCATGTTGAAGGGTGATGAATTGGCCTGCAAGGTTATCCAGGTGTGATGGAGGTCAGCAGAGGGGGTGGGGTGAGGAGGGGAAGGGGGGTCGGGAGGGCAGGTCCCAGCAGGCCGACAGCGCACCATCACGGCTCCGGTTGGTGGGCCTCGGCACTGCCCCCCATGCACGTGGTTGCTGGGGACCGTACAGAATAACATCGCACGAGAACAACTCCAAGGACGCCGATTTCGAGACGCTGCCAGCATATGCACTCACCTAATGTGGCTGCGAAGGGTTTTCTCCTGTGAAGATCGTAGCGGGGTTTGGAGAGGGCGATTCTTACTATGATCCAGCTGATTGTGGCTTCCCTGCTGACGTGCAAGCTTGAGATGCTCAGTAAACAGTAAACACCCCGGTCCTAATTTCCACGTGAAGGCGGACGCGGCCGGCGCAGGCCCCGTAAAACGGATAATACTGCTACGGGTACGGGCAGGGATACCCCGCTCGCTTTGTGCACTCCGCTGCTTGCCGCACACTTGCTCCTTTGATCCCCGGTGAGACGGTGACGGCCGACTACGACTCCAAGGTAGTGAGGTATACTTTTACTGCTACAAGCGAGGTGAGAATAACCTGTCCCAATAGTTCGCCTGGCCCCCGGCCTGGTCCCACAGCCCGTGGCTGTGACACCCATGGCATCAGGCCGTCGCATCAATTACTCCCAAAAAAGCACGGCGACAAGGTACTGGAAAGCCACGGCTGCTTCACAACACATACAATATCACCTCATTTCATCAAGGCAAGTAATACTGCATTCCTCCTGGAGACACTGCCTGCCTGAGCGAGTCCGAGCGACAGGGCCCCTTGTCTTACGTGATGATTGGAGGATGATGGCACAGCAGTTGGCGTGGCAGCTACCAGCATGCCCAGGTCAAGCCTGTGCCGCTGTGCCTTGCAAAGCAGTTGTATGGCACCAAGTTCGGACCATCACTACCTGCGCCGCTTCGCACCCTTGTGGCTGCGATTCAGAGGGCCTGGCATCGTGTCACCGGGCAGCCACGGGCAGGTGCATTTGCTCACACGCATTAGGGCAGGTGCTCACACGCTGCCAACCTGACCCCCCCTGACGGTGTGTGGAGGTGCGGGCTGACTAAGAAATACTTCAGGGGTCTCTGCACTGCAATAGAAGTATACCTCAAATACCTTGGAGTCGGTAGTCGGCCGTCACAGTCTCACAGGGGACGTAAAGTGGCAAGTGGGGCGCAAGCAGCAGAGTGCTCAAAGCGAGTGGGTTATCCCTGCCTGTACCCGTTCCACCTGGACTCCGAAGTGGGGCATCCTAAGCAGATGCCACTTTGCCCAGAGCCTCACCACGCCTGCCTGTGGCACGGTTTGCGTCCCAGTTCGCCCAGCCTACCCCACCTCAGCGGTCCCCCGCTCCACCAGCCTCGCCGCGCCCCACCCAGCCTTGCCCCACCCACATTCCCCCCCATGGGAGCGAACTTTGTATGGGGGGAGGAAAGACAAGGGATGCCTGCGCCTCCATCCATGTCTGGTGGTGATGCCATTCAGTGGCCTGCTGCAGTTCTCAAACTTTTGAGTCCATCGCAAGAATGCTTGGGGGATTCACTTGTTGTCAGAGGCTCAGAGCGCTGCAGGCGGCATGGCAGGTGTGCCGGGCGTGCAGTTGAGAGGGCATAGCGGCCGAAGGATACGCGTGAAACGCCATGCGACAAGTCGAGACAGAGCGACGCTGAAAGCATCCAGGTACAGGCAGAGCTGCCCTCTTGCTCCCGCAAGCTGTGGTGCACGCCTGCACGCTGAGTGCACACAGGAGCGGTCACGAAGACTGAGCAGCCCGCCTGCTGGCAGTGCATGCGGTCGTGAGCGTATGAACGATGACGACGTCACAGCTACAAACCTAGAGACAGGGGGGTAATAGTAGAGACAGAGGGACGGAAGAGCATAGAAAAGAAGGACAATGACAACAAGACAAGCAAAGGTGACACACGCGCGTGTGCACATGTCGCAAGCCTTACCGGCACTCAACCGCAAACTGCAGCAACCATCTAAACACACACTCCAGGTCATCCTGCAGTCACTGATAGACTCTGTCAATGTATGAGTGAATATGGAGTACAGGGGCCGAGTGAAGATGAGAGCTTTACACGTCTACTATAGTTCTGACGCCTCGCCACAGCAAGCAGTATCAATCTGCAGAGTAACCACCCGTGCTCACGTCTAACACCACCCCATACAAAGTAAGAGCCCCGAAACGAATACGCATGGAACTCATGAAACAAGATGAAAAGGCGTCTGTGAGGCGCAGCTTGAATTAAAACTGATTGGCTAACGCGCCACGAAACAGGGCAGCAGCGGGGCGGATGCAGCTGCAGGCCTCTGCGCGGTAGGAGACTTGCTGGTACAAGCACATCTCTTTCGCCTCCGCGTGCATGAAGACACGCGGGCGCAAGCCGCTGACTGAACGACGAGACTGAATCGGCGTGCGTGCGCGTGCAGCAGGGTTGCCACGAGCCGAGCCGAAGTTAAGGACAGAGCTAGTACACAAGGGCAGTCGTTGGCCGTCGGCTCACACACAAATAGCCGCATCAAATGCCTGCGCCTGCGCGGGCAGCCGCGACCATCACGCCCACACGGCACCTTCTCATGCAAATGGATGCATCCAGCTGCGGCGGCCCGGCGAGCGGTGGGGATGCAATCGGCGGCATGGCGCGGTTCAGTCGTTTGCAGAGGTGAATGTGCCACCTCAATGCAACAGCTGCACTGTGAGATGCGGTGGTGCCCATCGCGGCTCGTGTGCAGCGCTGACGGCGTTTGTGCAGCACTGGCGACGACGCGTACGCAGCTGCATGCGTGCGCTCGCGTGCGGTCCAAATGTGCCAGTTGGATGCTCAACTGCTGGAACAAGGCCCGGGCTCCCCGGGCATTGTGAAGCATGGGGGCGCTTATGTTGTCAACTCAAGTTTCAATCGCATAACCTGCGTGATTCGTGGGCAGCGCCTTGGGCTGCTGGCTATTCAAAGACCAGCAGCCGGTGCTACGGTGGTGGTACAGGGCGCGCGGCGCGCCGTGGGTGCAGCGCTCACGCGCGCCGCGCTCATTCGGCGCTAGCAGTCACAGCGCAAGGCTTCCTCGCGCCGTGCCGCCTCGGTTGCGTTGTTCGCGCGAATGCTTGCGCGAAAGGGAGCCGACACCAGCCCATCTTGTAAAACAAGCTGTATTCCAGACGCGTGGCCATGCTTGTCAGCATCGCTCTTGTCATAAGCATAGTGCGGTCCAGACCGCTCGCGCCACCCTCCGCCAAAGCGGCAGCAGCGCCGTCCGCCGAGCGTGGCATGCGCGCATGGGCGGCGCGATCATGACGCCGCGGCATTGGCGCCGCCGTCGGCATGCGCGCGCCGCGCGGCGGGCGAGTGGACCCGGTCCGACGGCGCGCGCTGCTGGCACTGCGGGGATCTCGAACCTGGGGGGGCCGGTCCTCATCGCTTCTCGTACTTGCTGACAGAGAGCACCACCCATGTGCACAGCAGGAAGAACACGAAGAAGGCCCACACTATGGCGATGTTCATCCTGGGAGAGGGACGCGGGCGCACGGCAGACGCATTGAAGTTTCCGAGCGCGTGTCGCCGGGCGGCGCAGGCGCTGTGTCGCCGCTCGTCTCTGGCATAAAGTACGTGTGTGCGCCCTCAGATGCACGCGTGCCTCCCACGGAACCCAGCAGCAGCAGCTAAAGCGGGGCCTGCTGTCAGTTGAAAACACCCCAGAGTGAATAAACTGGGCCGGGTCACTCTACAAGACAAAACAGTGTGCGTAACATTATGTAGAGTGACCAGACCCGGCCCAGCCCCAAGCGTCCACACAGCGTGAACCCCTGCCAGCCCCGCCCCAGGGCTGGGCCCCCAGTCCATGGGCGCACCATATGGACTGCCCCGCCACCGCAAAGTACTGCAGCAGGGTCTTGCCCCCGATGAACCGCGGGTCGCGCAGGGCAAACTGGTTGACCATCACTGGGGGGTTTTGGGGGAGGTGGTGGGGCGGGGGGGGGGGGGG